GAAAACAAACGTAAAACCCAGAAAGCTTAGAGGAGGAAGAAGAAGAATGTGTAACAGAACAACAACAACCTTATCGCCTCCTTCTTATTATACTGGGCCCTTTTATTTTCTTCTGTTTCTCTTTGTTTTGGGTTTTTTTTCAAGCCGAGGCCCAATCGACCAGACACATTGTAAACACTTGAGCCATTATTTCTCACAAAAACAGTTAAATCGGTTGCTTTCACCAAACGCCGTAACGGTCTCTTCCGTAAAGCAACGGAGCTCTGTCTTCTCTCTCCAAACACTCAAATCGCAATCTTAGCGACTCCTCCTTCTTCCAAATCTCATGCTTCTTTCTATTCTTTCGGCCACTCCTCTGTCGACCACGTCGTCTCTTCTCTGCTCAACGATCACTCTCCTCTTCCGACAAACCAAGGAAAGAACATGTCAGCTGGATTAGGGTTTTGGTGGGAAGACGAAGCTCTTATCAACACGTCGGAGAACGTCGAAGAACTGAAAGATGCGATCGATGCGGTCTCGACCATGTTGAATAATGTGAGGCTCCGGTTAGATGATGTGGTGAAGAGTACTGATCATGGAGCTTTAGTGATTCATGATCAGGAGGACAATCTTCAGCTTTGCAACACCAACACGAACAACAACTACGGAGAGGCTACGCATCAAGTTCCTAATTTTGAAGGAGCCTCTGGTTCTGGAACTTTGGTACACAATCTTCAGCTTTACAACACCAGTACGAACAACAACGTCGAAGATACTACGCATCAAACTCCAAATTTTGAAGGAGCCTCTGGTTCTGGAACTTTGGTTCACAATCTTCAGCTTTACAACACCATTACGAACAACAACGAAGAGGCTACGTATCAAACTCCAAATTTTGAAGGAGCCTCTGGTTCTGGTTCTGGAACTTTGGTACAGGTCGGGGAGGATAATTACAACGTTGATGATTTTCTTAGGTATTTCAACAACATTGATCCACTTTGATTTGATGATGTTATTTTATGCATATTATAATTAGGTTACTGAATACTTTTTACTATCTAATCTACCGGTGCTTTTTTTTTTGTTCGGGAATAGTGCTACCAAACTGAAACCAAGATTTTGTTTGGACCATGGTTTTGTAATTTTTGATAAATCAATATTATGAATTTTTGATGTATTTTGCCGCAAGAAAGTATCATCTAATTTTACTTTCTTCGAAATCAGTTTATCAAATCTAATAGCAATGTCTAGCCGTGTTTACACAAACCAGAAGATAGAAAGAAAAAAAAAATTTTGGTAAGTAAAATATTATTTCGAAAATTTTAGTACATACATATCTATCCTCAACCCAACTTTAAGCACTAGCTTTAATGTTGAGGCACAAATCTACTCATAGCAATGATACACGAAAACTGTTTGACGTATATAAGATCCTAAATGTTAGTGTACATAAGGACGAAAGAACATTACGAGCCAAATCCCTCAAGTCTTTTATGGCTTTATGAACAGGAAAGAATATCCGCCGAGTCAAATCATGAACCATTTGATATCTCTACGCTTTTTCTGGGAATACCTTAAGGAGGAAATCAGTGAACCGTTTAGAGTAAAGCGTAGGCTCGATGGCTGAAATTGTCATCGGATCATACTGCATAGATTTGCAAGTAATTTCCATCCTCTTTTTCATGTTGTACTCTTGCAGGATGTCGATGATGCCCATGTACACAACCACATCATATACTTCAAAGAGTTCGTCCGTTCCTGATTCCTCTTCGTCTTGACGGAGTTTGTGGTGGGCTTGAGCAGGCATGTTCACTCCTAACTGTACCCGGAGCCTGAATTTTAATTCCGAACAGTAAGGTTAGGGTCAAATTTAACAAAGAAAATATCCAACTTCCATGTTGGTTTTGATGTGATGAAGCAATGGGAAGTGACTGACCTTGCAGTTCCAGGTAGAATGAGATCAACTTCTTTCTCGCCAACAGAGAATGCTCGTAGTGTGCTACCTCTGATGTGAGGACCCGGGGCGGTATTAACGAAACTGGGTTCGTGAGTAACCAATAATATCCCTTTTGGAGGAGTGGAGGGTTCACGAAGCAAATTGACTGATGAAACAGACAAAAAAAGGAAACAGTAAGTGATACAAATCCAAGATGTTTATTCACATGTCAGCACTAGCACTACACCATATACCGAGAAGTAAGAAACTGATCACCTAATATATCTTAGCGAGTGGCTGACTAATTTATCTACTCTGGATTAAAGCATTGTGGCCTACCTTCAACAGAGCCAACACTATCACTTTCTTGATCTGACATTGCATTGGCAGGCTCCGGGAGTTCATTAAGTTGATCGGGAGCTCTAAAATGTAATCCCAACAGAAGACTGTAATCAATGATTTGCAGAGATTCCAAGAACGAGCAGTCTAAATAAATTTGCCTGCCATAAAAGAGGTTCCACGAACAATTAGACAAACACAAATGCAAAAAACACAGCAATTTAATTAAGTTTAAAATTTACAATCAAGATAATCATAAGAATGTAAAATCCGAGGAAGTTTATACTAATATAACACAGGAGGACCATCAAAGAAAAATTTCACTAGCAGCACTAATCTTAAGCCAGGCAAAGAAGAGCAAACATCTCATTTCTAAAGGAATGTTATGTCTAGGTACAGAGAAATTAAAGTGCTTCAATTCTCTTAGTATCAGCCCAGTCTTCCAGAAATGAATTTATTATGTATAAGCGACAGTGAGACTAACTCTCCTGCAAAAGATCTACACTTCCTAGTTCCTATATAGATTAGATTTCCAAAGGGGATAAAAAAACATAAACTTCAACACGGCATCCCTCGAAATTCAACAGACATTAAGACTAGTGGCGACGTGTGAGATGTGATCATGAGACAGAGTAGGTTGCAGCAAGCATACTTATCTGGAAAATCACATGGCACATCTATAGCCTATCTTTCACTGAGGATGGAAAATATTATTAAAAGGATTGAGTAGAGAACTCACTTGAAGAGAGCCTCGCGCAGCAGCTTGTCCATATGAAATTCATACGCTAAATCAAGATCTTTCATAGTAGTTTTTTCTCTGATTTTCTTCTTTTCTGTAAATCTCCCTTGGGTAGAGCCCTTAAGGTCATATCGGCGATGAATCTTCAATTCTGTGCAAAACATATTCCCCATGACCACAAAGCGTACCTATCAGAGAAGCACAACGCTCATGCTAAAAGAATGGGAATATAATGGAATTAAGATATAGAAGAGATCAGACAAGATCTTACCTTTTTACCCCAGTTGAGTTTTAATCTGTGTACTCCAAAAAATTTCGTTATGAGCGTATTTTCATGGTCCCCTACATGTTCATAGTACCTAGGCAACATCCTGAGTAGAACCTACAACCAAAAAAAGAGGAAGCTATCAGTCATAATATCTATACCACTAAGATGCTCCTACGTTACAAATTAAAGACAAAGGCTACACTATCTGTAGACGTGGTAAGCATCTTCAAAAGAGGAACAAAAAAAAAACCGAAAGGACCAAAAATCAGCTCCTCCCATAACCAAAAGTTAAGAAGGCCTTACAATAACCCTAAGATACTATTATGAGTACGGACAAGCAAGAAAAAGATAACAGCTTAAGTTATATCACACCTTCAACTCAGATCTTTTTAACGTCTTTATCACAAATCTGTCGTCGTGTGAAAGGTAGAAGATACTGCCACTTTTCCCAGGGGACGAAATTTCCCTCAAGCCATCATCACCACAGATAGACATCATGTAGTCTGCAGCATCTAGTTTGAACATCTCCCTCAAATTCCTATGACATGCCATTGAAAATCATGCACACTCAATAATTTGAAGAGGATATAATCTTGGATGCTCTAAGAAAAGTGTTTATGACTAAAAGAACTCTCTTTGTTCACAATTGCCGTCAAAAAAAGTGCAAAAAGGTCAGGAGCTTGAGGTGTTGAAAAATGAATCATTCTGCAGAA